AGATAAATTTAATGTATTAGCGTGAACTAAAATTAAATAAAGTTAATTAAATAAATTTTAAATGAGAAAAATAAATACAAAAATGAAATTAATAAAAAAAAAATTAAAATAAACTAATTAAAGAAAAATAAAAATAATAATTATATAAGATAATAAAGTATAAAAATTATAAAGTAAAATAAATAATAAATCAAATATCTTATTATGAAATAATAAATTAAATAAATAAAGAACTGAAATTAATATAATATAATATAATAAAAAATATTATTTATCAAATAATTTTAATATGATTTACTCTTAATAAATATATTACTATTTAATATAAAAACAAAATGATAATTTCGTTTTAATAAATTAATAATATAAATGTAAAATAAATTGTTGTATAAAATTTCAATATACGTTTTAATGAATTGACGTAATATAATCTGTATAAATTATATTAAATATAATTTATAATAAAATTAAATGATTAATTTAAATAATTAAATTTATAATAAAATTAAATGATAAATTAAATTAAATTAAATTTGTAATAAAATTAAATGATACTTATATATATAATATATTATTAAAGTATAATTTCGAAAATAAAATATTTTTTATTAAATAGCTATATATGATTTGTATTTATTTATTTTAATTATTTTTATACTATTTAATATTTTTTAAAATCTTTTATAAATATATAGATTTACTTAATTATTATATTATTTATTATTTAACTACAATTTTTTTATATTTATTTATATTTTATTTTAATTTTTTTTCTTTTAACATAATAAATTATTTAAATTATTATTTTTGTTTAATTTTATATAATTTAGTTTATTATATTTGAATTATCATAACTTAATATTTTAATAATTTAATTTAATATAATTAATATATTCTAAATTTAATTTCACTTATCCGTAACAATGTCCATATATATCAAACATTCCTAGTTCTAACACTCAACCTTGAGTGGTGTAGTGGTTACATTGCTTGTATTGCTCCCATGAGGTAGCAGGTTTGAATCCTAAGGGCTGCAATTTTTATTAATTCAAATTCTCGCGATATATTCAATATATCGTAAATATATGTATAATATTCAGATGGTATAACGGGACTTTTGAAGAAAAACTAACGCCGTTAACGGAGAAATAGAGACAAGGGAGCGTGTGCACCTGAAACCTTAATAGAAGGGGGTATGACGCAATTTTTAAAATACAGGGGGGAAACGCGCAGATTTAGTATAATACAGAGGGGTTTGGTGTATTAAACCCCAATTTATTAATTATTTACTCTCTTGAGTTAGTACTGTCATTAACAGAGTGAGATGTTAATTGATAAAGTATAACTCTCAAATAGCCTCAGTCGATGATCACTAAGAAAGAGATATTAATGATACGCGATAGATTGACATGTGGTCTGCATCACATTCTTAGAGAATATAGTATGTCTCACTACTATGAATAATTGTTATTCGTGATGGACACGTGGATACTTTGGAAAGTATTGGTATACCCTACCGATAAACCATTTGTTTATGTGTCTATGGGGGTATCGATCTGTGGAATGGTGCAATAGTCCTTTGACTTGAGGTCAATACACAATTCATGAATAGAGTGATTTACTTAGACCTAATCCAACACTTATGCCCTTATGGGTAGATACGGGCTTATGTTGGGTTGATCACGATATACATGGAATTGGTAGTTGAGCCAAGATAGGATTCATTTCTCGAATATAGTTTCAAGAGAACACTCATTTTTTCTATACTGGGTTGATAAAGTCATTGGCCAATGCACGTGATTATATTTGAAATGGTGTTCAAATATAATTGATAAAATCAACCAGTAAGATGAGATAAAATGATTAAGCTGTTTGGATAGACACACGTTCAAAAATGACATATCACTGCAGTGTTCCCCACACCTCTCAATGCTTTGACCCAAAAAGGACCTCTCACTGCAAAGACTGTCACGTCTATCAATGTTTTAACCTAAAAAGGACCACTCCCTACAAAGTTTACCACACCTTTCAAATTCACTACTATAAGAACATGACAAATCCTTCACACACTTGACTCTATTTAAACATCTTATCATATTTCTCAATCCCACATTTCTACAATGAATTTTAATTTTTGCAATTCGTCATCTTCTTCATCTGATTCTGAAGATGATCATATACTAATTATGACTGCTCTTCGTAAAAAACAAGCAGTGATATCTCGTGTTATCGCTAATAACAACATCATCATTCAACACCTTCCCAGTCAACAAAACCAAGAAGCCACCCATGGAGGTTCTGTTCTTGGGCATATTGTTATCAATCGTGACCGAGAGGCTGTTGATCATAGGTTATACAATGATTATTTCTCAGAAAATCCATTGTATAACGAGACCATGTTTCATAGAAGATACAGAATGTCTCACTTGTTGTTCCTTCGAAATATCGATGCAGTCAATGATCATGATCATTACTTTCAACAACGAGTGGATCGAGCTGACAAACTTAAATTATCTCCAATTCACAAAATAACTGTTGTCTTTCGTATGTTGGCATACGGCGTTCCGGCATATGCTACAGACGAGTATGTCAAAATTGGTGAGTCTACTGCAATTGAAAGTATGAAAAAGTTCTGTCGAGCGACAGTTGAGGTATTTGGCGAGCGATACCTGCGGATACCCACACCTGATGATATTTCCAGGCTTCTATATATAGGTCAACAACGTGGTTTTCCAAGAATGTGGGGAGTTTAGATTGCATGCATTGGAAGTGGAAAAATTGTCCTACAGCGTGGACTGGCCAATATGTTGATCGTAGTGGAAAGCCTACAATCATTCTTGAAGCTGTAGCAGATTATGATCTATGGATATGGCATGCTTTTTTTGGTTTGCCGGGCTCCAACAACGATATCAATGTTCTAGAATCATCTCATCTTTTCTCGGATCTAACCCCAAGTATTGCTCCTCCAGCTCATTATATAATTCAAGGAAAAGAATACAACATGGGTTATTATTTAGCTGATAGCATATATCCAAAATGGTCTACCATTGTGCAAACAATTCATGAGCGACGTGGTCCGAAAAAAAAGATATTTTGCAATGAAACAAGAAGCATGCAGAAAAGACGTTGAACGTGCATTTGGAGTTCTTCAATCACGTTTTGGCATTGTAGCAGGACCAGTACGTTATTGGCAAAAAGAAGTGCTACATGATATCATGACCACATGCATAATTGTGCATAACATGAACGTGACCTAAGTGCACCAATCGAAACTGAAATGGAAACGCCGCCGCCGGAGGTCGAAATGGCAGTAGATGAAAGTACTCAATTTCAAGAATTCATATCTCAGTACAAAAAAATTAGAAATAAAGATGATCACATTGTACTTCGAAATGCACTAATTGATCATTCGTGGGAGGAATTCACCAATTCCGAGACTTAAAAGACTATCTATGTTTACTTGATTGTTGTAATTTTTAATTTCTCATCTTGTGCGTTGTAATTTTTAATATTATATTGTGTGTTGTCATTTTTAAATTTTAAATTTTAATGACTATTTATTTCTCCAATTTTATTATGTATATGATTATTACTTTATAATTAGTTTATTACATAAAGTCCAAAGTAAATTGAAAATAATAGTGTGGTTTAATTTGTAAAGTTGTAAAATATGTGGGTAGTATTGAAAAGTTGTAAAAGTTGATGTAAAAGAGAATATTCCGAGAATATTCTTTTGGGTTGGAGAATGAGTTTTTCGGTTGGAAATGAATTACTGCAAAATGAGATAGGTACTGCAAAATGAGTTTGAGTATGAGGTATTCAGTTGGAGATGCCTCATAACCTGTGCCAAGGACTAGGCCGAACTACACGGGCCAAAACTATAAGGGCACGTTTGTTTCCCAAGACATGAGTAGATAAAATTAATCTTTGGACACAAGATTGGGGTGTAGAGATATAAACCATCTTGTGTTTGTTTTCCTAGATTCATGCAACTTGAAATTATATTTTTTAAGCTTGTTTCTTGTTTGTTTTCCTAGATCAACATTATGATAAGAAGCATATTTACATATTTGCCCCATCCATTGTTTTTGCATGCTTGTTACTAGAGGTGGCCATTCAACGGGTCCGGGCCCGGCCCGGCCCGACCCATCGGGTCGACGGTCTGCCTGGCCGAGGCCCGGAACCGAACCGGACAAAGGGGCGGTCCGGGACCGGTTCTGAGCCCGAACCCGCCGGTTCATCGACCCGGCGGGCCAAAAATTAAAAAAAAAATAAAAAATATTACAACACAGTTGCCGGCGGTCGACCCGCGAACCGGCCCGGCCCGGACCGGAACCGCCGGTGCAAAAAAAAAAAAAGTGACCCTGGACCGAACCGCGACCCTTACGGNACATAATATACATATGCAAACTATTTTAGAAGATGCAGTATCGCTTTGTACATTTCAAATTTATGAACTCATTTTGCAATATCTTTTTCAGAACATTCATCATGCAAAAGTTGAAACATAAAACTCACCTCTGCAGCCCCGTGACACTTTTCTTCACTTTCCCTCTAGTGTCCATCAATCACCCATTGCACAGGGTTCTTCATGCTAAAAGACAAACTGCTAAATGTGGATAGTTGGTTTGCGCAGCTTTTAAAGATTTGCACCACTTTCAAAAATATTTTACACATTATGACCATATTGACTATAACATGTGGCCTACAAAAGAGGTGTTTTTTATTTTCCTTTTTAAAAGGAATCCAATGTTTCATATTACAGTGGAAGACAAAGCTTTCACTACATTATAAAACCATATCACAAAGGCATGCACATTCGGTCATTTACGAACCAAAAAAAATTGGTCTTAGGGTTATTAATAGGCAGAAAGGCATGTGGGCCCCTGACCGTTGCATCGCGGTCTATATAAACGGTTAGGATCTAGCGGGTGAGTTGGAAAGGTGGTACGAACCAAAAAAGTTCTTAAGTATTTAATTTTCCTTTCATTTGAAACACAATGCCTCGCCTTTCTACACCTATAACGCAAGACGAATGCCTCTACGATGGTCGTTGGATTAAACAGGCTGACAATGTATTTGTTGACTTGCTGATAGAGTCGCATATGCTTGGGCAGTGGACAAATGGTCGTCCCGGGGGTGTGGTCTTCGATTATTGTTGTGGTTTTCTCATCGGCGAGCTTGACCTTATTTATAGTCACGATGAGTTAGAGGCCAGATTCGACTTCCTTCAAAAGCGGTACCAAGCTTTTAGCTGGATGCTAGGCAAGCCCGGTTTGCGCCACTGCGTACAATCAAACATCCTCACCGCTCTTGTTGCCGTTTGGGATGAAATCTTCGAGGTAACATGACATTTTATAATTTTTTTGGTGCCGTTGATAATTGTTTTTGCATTGAGTAATGAGAATTTCATAATTTAAATTTACGTAAATATTACAAAAACCAATTTAATACCTGACTGAAATTTATGTAAATATTTTATTTCGTGTATATTTTCAGACGATTTTAGCGTTGCTTATCAACATTACGGTGACCCCCGCTGGGAAGACTTGCGTTTCATGTTCGAGGAGGTGTATTCTACAAACCCAACTTCTGAAGTTGTTCATGACCGCAACTCTACAAACGAAGGTTTTTTTTGCTCTCCCTGCTGCACGAACTAATGTGGTTTCAGACAATTCCTATCACAATGCTTTGCAGACGCTTTGTAGTCGCAACAACGCTCATCCCCAACATGGTGGTCCATACGATGCCACGTCTGCAAGCTCCGTCAACAGAGGCGGAGCCACCCGAAAGGCTGGGGTGGGTTCCAGCCCAGGGTACTTCACAAAATTATAAAAAAATAAAATAAAATCTAGTAGCCCAATATAATGAATTTAGCCCAGTTAGCCCGGCCCAAAAATTTTAACTAGCCCACAAAGTAGCCCAAGAGATGAAGAGAACATCTTCGTTCTTCTCAATTCTCACGTTCTCAAAATTCTAAAAATCAAAGGGAAGGAGAAACCGAGAAAGCAATTTTTTTTTCTTCACGACTTCACCTGAGATTTCTCGTCGGAGTCGGTCCCAAACAGAGGGTCGACTGGAGAAACGAAGCCATTTTTCCCTCAATTTCAGCCGCACCTCCGACTCGCGAGAAGCCCTTCCGGCGTCCGCCCGCGAGAAGCCCGTCCGACGGCCCTCAATTTCATCTCGTTGTCTACTCCGCTCGAGAAATTCATCTCTGTTTCTTAGGTTCTAATTTTTTTTTTCTTTTTTTATAAATGTTTTTATTATTATTAATTAGGGCTTTATGGAGTAAAATTTGTTCAATTTTTGTTTTATGGATTTTGATGAAAGTGGCGTGGAGTCTGTGGAGAAGAAGAAATTTGTTTTTTCAGCAATTTAAATTTAAGGCACAAAATACCCTATGGATATGCCCAGCAACATTGAAAATGACTATGGTTTAGCTCATCCTTTAATTGGGTTGAGCCCAAATATTTGTCAACACAATATGCTTCATTGCTTTATTGTAATTGGGTTGAGCCCAAATATTTGTCAAACTGAAAATATATATATATGTGTGTGTGTGTGTGTGTGTGTGTGTGTGTGTGTGAAACAATTTCCATATACTCCATCCTCCAAATTAATCATAAATTCTTAAGTGTTGTGCATAAGACAACTTTTGTAATCATCTGTCCTAATAAATAAAATGGATAATATATATTGTCCAACAATCAACAACAACGAGCTATCATCCCACTTGACCTTTTGTCATTTCCGAATTGAAAATGTGAAAAATAATTGTGTATTTGTAAAGTCTACATTTGAAATATTTTATTGATAATTTTTATTGGTTGATGCTTTTAGGTTGATTTTTCAAATGGATGCCCCATAGGAAAGAAGACAGGGAAAAGACAAGACATTATCATTTAATTGACAGATAGATTCACCTCATTTTGACGCTTCATGTTTCTACTATAACAACCGAACAAACATTTTCAGCTATGAAACTTCTCAAAAATCCTTTTTTGAAATAAAATGGAAGAAGACTTCTTAGTGGATTCTGTGATTGTCTACATCGAAAGAGAGTTTACTTCGAAAATCGACACTGATTCAATAATTGACGAGTTTTACAGTATGAAGAATCGAATAACGCATCTTAAATAAGTAACATTTTTTTATACCTTTTTAAATAGTTGTAATGAACATGAAGCATTTGATATGCAATTTTTATTTGAAACTTGTTTTCTATTTTATTTTTATAAATTTTACCGCATAATTTAAATTATTTTTATAATCAATTAGCCCAGGGTACTTTTTTTTTCCTGGCTACGCCCCTGTCCGTCAACACGCATGCCCATGTATTAATAAATAGGGTGGGTAGTCTAACCCCATTGCGCATTCCACGACCACCGCACAAGCCAGACCCAGCTTCTTGCAAGGGTTCGACTAGCGATCCGCACGTTTGAAGTATCACGCATGTTACTCCTGTTAGGCACCTAATATATGTATTGTATGTGTTTTTGTGTTTTGTGTGTCTTGTGGTTTAATGTAGACAAACGATGGTTGAAGATGTTTTTTATGTACCTTGTTTATTGACTTTGTTTGAAGTATGCCTACCTACCTAACGTTGAATGCATAATGTTTTGTGTGTTACATATTGGAGAATGATCTTTATTTATTCGGTAAAATAGTGGACATTTCTTTCCCAATTAATTAAATCGGCCTATGAAATGACAATACCCCTTTTTAACAATACACATAACATGCCCAACCTTGAGGATAATTGTGTGTTAACTTTTGATTTTTTTAAAGTTGATCACTTTTTATCTTTTGTATCTGAAACTAGGGTAAGGTGTATTACAAGGGATGTGTTGTTGAGAATAGTTTCTGTAAACTCTGGTTCAAAGTACAAACTATTAGATAAATATTTTATAGTTCATGAAACGAAAAGGACATGACGAAAATAGGCATACTTAGATACCTTAGCAAAACAGTCCATAAGTGCGGTATAAAACATTCCCAAAAGATACTGACTATGGCAATCTAGTACATACGAAATTATGCCACATACGCACAAAAACATAGACAACTTCTACTTTTAGTGAGACAACATAAAACCAAAACAGACTTATAGTTTGCACACACCATATACTCATAATTATGCCATTACATAACGGAAAAACTTAATAGGACCTTGACGTAGAGTTATATCTAGTCTAAGTCAACGCATGAGTCGAAGTCTATGTCGATATCCATTTCCTCCGGTGCCTTGTCCGATTCAATGTCAACCAACTTGACTGCGGCGGCTTCAGCCACGTCTTCTTCCTTGTAATCTTCCTCCACGGCTTCAGCCACGTACTCCTCCTCGCCGTTCATGTAGTCTAGCCCAGCGGCCTTGTCACTGCCTTCATTCCCGACCCCCAACTTAGCACCATCAGCGCCGTCTCCACCGTGGGGGTCATCGGCAGCAACATTTTCCTCATCTGTGTCGTAAAACATGATCGGGTCATACACTCTTTCACCGGCCTCGATGTGTACACCAACACCACGTCTAAGATCCCACAGCTCCACACACTCTTCGTACTATGGAAACCCCGCATGACGGAAATAGTATTCCAAGTCCGTTTCCTATGAAGTGAATAGTGTCAATCAAAGAGTAGGAATTTAAAGTAATAGGGAACCCATGTTTGGCTACACGTTGCATGCATGCCGGAACTAAATTTACTGTCCCATAACAAGGTATAAAACAATATTGCACAACGGTACGTAAAACAAACCCGGCCGACGTATGCCCAGTACGTAGAATTTACAGTGACAAGACTTGATTCCGCATGCACGTTGACACTGGCAGTCTCAAGAAACGTAAGGAACTCCCGGAAGTTCATGTGAAGTGCCTTGGTCTTAGCCTTAACCTTCACCATGGAGAAATATGTTAGCATCTCTTCGGTCAGCTGTATCGAAAGTTGGGGCCATAAGGAGTTGAAGATGGCAGGTACGTTGACGTCGGGAGTTTCATGGCAAAGGTTGAAGAAAAGCCGATAACACTCCCTCTCCTCATTCGCTGACCAACCGGGCCGACGATACCTCTCCGCAATACGTAGCATGCTAGCATGACGTTCCACATTGTTCATCTTCAGCTGATGGTACCTGTAATACGACCACAACAATTCCCGTTAAAGAATCCAGTATAAAGAATATAAAAATCGGTTGTTCAGTTCACATAGGCAACGTATATGAAGTAATTGCAGGAACATCACCTGGGAGTTATATTTTTTGCCTCAAAATGAAGTTGACTAAAAGCCATTTAACTCAATCAAAATAAATATGGAGACATGCGAAAGTTGTGGTAGAGTGAATTTGGTAGGTCTCATTGAATTACACATTAAAGGCACTTAATTATCTTTGATGGTGTATTCTACTCAATTGCCTCTTTAAATGATGACAATTCATTGTTGGAGTGGTAGTTAGGTGGGTCGGTGGTTGCAAGGATTTTAATTTTATTTGGCACAAAATTACGTTTCTGTGGATTTGATAAAAAAGAGAAAGTAAAATGTAGATTGTTCTGTTTATTTTAATATGCGGACAAATGGTGTGTTGTGAACAACTGTGTGAAGAGAAGAGTGGGTGGCTATCTGACTGCCGAATATTTGTACACATATTTATATCTACAACAATTGAATTTTTTGGTCTTTTGCTATTTGCATTACGTGCCATAATACATGAAATAAAGTCGGCTTCAAACATTGTGTATCAAAAATAAATACCGGTTTTACCGGACAATACCAACCAAATTACCATTTAAATACAGCGTACGCCGGATTTAAAAAACATACAATAAAATTATTTTCTAAAATTGTTAAAACTTATTAGTATTATTTTATTCATATAAATGAAAAGTTATACGCTTTATTTTCATATATTTACACTGTTAGATTTTACATAATTTAAGTTTTTGTTGAAGATACTTTCATAATTATTTTTGTTATTTACACTGAAAAATGTTTTGCTTCTATGGCATAGAACTACGACGAACCGTAAAAGAAAACGTCCGGGTTGAAAAGAGTCGGTTTTAACAACTCCACGTGAGGCAAAAAATGAAGAATAAAGGTCGAGGTTGTTGTCAGTATTTTTACAGGAGTAGAATCGAAAGATTCGTTCCCCGGGTCGTATCGCAAGGAAGGTTAGCCGGATATTCTTGTGCGTTTATTCAATCACGAAAAAAAGAAGAAAAATTCCTGAACACTCTAATTCAATATTTTTGGGTTTCAATTATCAACTACTAATGTAAACTAAATTAAATGAAAGTAAAATGGCAAATAAATTCACTTGATGATTAAAGAGCTAGGGAATCGAGGATAATTGCTTTCGGTTCTAACATAATCACCGGCAATCAATTGCTCGGTTCAAAGACTTGAATCGTTTCTCGTTCAGAGGTTCACTCTCAATAACTCTTCGTAACAAGAGAGTGAATGTAAACGATCGACTATCAATTCCAACAACACATAGATTATACGTTTTCGAAGAAATCTATTCTAAACAAGCCTAATTCGACCAACGTCTCCCCTCTCGGTTCTACACGTTAATTATCTAGGTTAGAAAGGTGATCAATCTACTAACCTTATAATTCACACAACTCGCATAGACATGAACAATCAAAAGCATTCAATCATTATCGAACCTAATCAATCATCCCATATCCCTAGCGAATGGATTTAGCTACTCATATAGAATTCAACATCAAAATTCATACAAACCCAAGCCATCATCATCAATAAAACAATTGAGAAAAATGACTTACGATTAATGATAATCATTAATCGTAAGTTAAATCCAAGTGCATCCAAATCCAAAGCAGAGAAAAGGAGTTTTCAATCTCCAAAACAAATCTAAAGTGCAAAAGTATGAAAAGGAATGAGTTTCTAGAGAGAAAAAACATAAAAACAAAGTCTGGAAGTCTAATTCTTCACCCTAGAATCGAAATCTGCTCTAAAAATCTCATCCTCAAAATTCGCGCCGGATAAGTCGCGAGTCGCGACATCCTCGCGAGTCGTGCGTCGTCAAAATGTTAAACTTCTGGGGTTTGGTTGCGACATAACTAGCGAGTCGCGACTCCATCTCGCGAGTCACGACTCGTTCTTCGGAAGTCCTCTTAAGCCTCAGTTTTTCCGCGAGTCGTGAGTCGCGAGAAATTCTGGGCGTGTGTTTCTGTCCGTTTTTCAGTCCTCTTCGTCGTCTTCTGGGCTCGGCCACAGAAATTCTCAATATCACGGTCTCGGCTCAAGCAGACCCAACTCGACCGGCACAACCTATCTCCTGAAAACACAAAAACAAGAAAACACACGAAGCAAAACACGACAAAAAGACACACAAAAAGAAACTAAGGAGAAAAACACAAAACGAACGAAATTGACCAAATAAACCACGAAAAACCTACAAATGGGGGGAAAAAAAATGAAGTAAAGACACAAAAATGGGACAAACAGAGGTTATAGGAATTGTAATAACAACTCATTTTGGCAAATTAGACATAAACTTTATTACACACAGTCAGACAAAGTGAATTCGAAAAATATAAAATTTGCACAAATACCTTCACAGACTATACGTCCCATGCATAAATATGTCTCCTCATCCGGGGATGTAAAACATATTAGGTCCAAAAGTAGGCCACATTTTACGGTCCTTAAAGGCAAAAGGCGTAGTACGCACATCATTAACAAAACACAATAGAAGGTCACCTAAGTTTTATAGCATGCATACTTCCAAACTACAACCTATTTTCGAGGATCATTTTCACCATTGACGCTTATTCCTCATCGTCCACGCTGAAAAAAACATCCATATCTTCTTTGTTCCTACAAAAGTACTTCGATACGATAAATCTTCCTTCGGTAGTCAAGATGGGAATACACTTCAATGCCTCGTACAAAACCTTGCGTTGCTCCTTCGCGTCGTGCTGGACCCCAATACGTACCACTATTTGACCCCACCGTTGATCGGCCTTCTCGCATAAAGTAGAAAGTAGGACGACGACTTCTACCTCCACATCTTTAAAACGTTTACGTTTGCCGACCCTTTTACCCTTCCTAGATGCACTACTTTCAATATCCTATGGCGGAGATGACTCAATTTCATTCTCATTGGATTCGAAGTCCCCACCAACCCCGCCACGCCTTACATTTTGTGCAGGGGCATTATCACTTGTAATACTTAAGACTTCTTGCACCACTTCTGCTAAACCTTCATCACCTTCACCTGTTGCGCGGTCCTTTCCAAAAATGTCCACCCAATCACTGTAAAACGGCCATGACTTGTTGCGCAATCCTTTCCCTTTTGGGTACATCTTCATGCATACAATATTTGGTTGTGTAGATTTGCATAATAGATAAACAATTTAAATAAGGGAACAGATAAAATATAAACTGAACAAAGAGGAGATTAGTTCATGACTAATGCGAACCTTCACATAATCTTGCCACACGGCCTCTTCAACTTCTAGTATGTGGTCGGATTCAGACCACCCAACACCGGACGTATTCTGAAGCAGTGGTACAAGTAAAACATAGTTTTTTTCAATAGCGTAATTTTCGACGAGATGTGACGCTCGGCTCTAATTGTAGTTTCCGGAAGCTGTTGCTGCATATATTGTTCTAAAAATATTGTGTACCCGGAACGGAACCCATTGTCAGCTTTCCATCCACGTGCAATGAGTTCCTTCAATCCTTGGATGAATGCACGTTCTTCTTCAAACGTCCAAACTCGCTGTTAATTTTTACGTTTGGCCCACGTTCCACGTTAGTTGTAGAGTCCATCACTAGTCAATTTTAAATACTAAATCATAATTAGTCCAACATTTGCAACATATAATAAGTAACGATAAATGGAACATAATGAACTCCGAACATTAAAAAGTAATACACATTCGGGTGGGTGAAACATGAATGTATTTCCATAAAACACACAAGTGCACGCAAGTACATTTCATAATGCATCAAAGTGCTCCACGTAGACAACATAAACTTTCCAATGAAAGAAATAAAAGAAAGGAAAAGGATAAAAAACAAACTCAATTGTTGCCACGCCACTCATTAAACATTGAAATAGCTAGTGTTTCCCTCCAAGCAGTCCACTCATTAGTAGGCTCAACCACTTAGACATAGTCATTTGGTGGGTGTAGTTATTCTTCCGTGTTTGACTCCATTTTAAAAACATCATCATCACCATCCATTGGATCAATACTCATTGTAGTACGAATGAAGTTTTGAAGAAGGTAACACGCCAGAATCACTCTATTTTGAGTGACTATGTCGAAAAATGTTTTACTTCTAAGGACGGCCCATCTCGTCTTCTATACTCCAAAGGCCCTTTCAATTACGTTTCTAGCTCTAGCGTGTCTAAGGTTAAATAGTTCCCTAGGATTTCTAGATGCTCGAGGACCTTCACCGAATTCGTGCAAATGATAGCGCACGCCCCTAAATGGTGCTAGAAATCTCGGACCGTTTGTGTACCCACCATCGCAAAGATAGTAATTACCTGTGAAGCCAATAAAGCGAAATAACTTATGTAAACGGTTTGGAATTAAAAATTATAATTAATGTGTACGAACCCTAGATTAAATTAGGTAAATTTTTTCCATTACGAAACTCTCACTCGTAAGAACACGTAACCCACGATCTCGCCGTACCGCATCCCTTAATATTCTACCGTCTGCCGCCGACCCTTCCCTCCCAACCAAGATGTAAGAAAATTTCATATCCACATCACATATGCCTAATACGTTTGCAGAAACACTACCTTTTCTATTTCGGTACATCGGGTGCAAAGTACTAGGAATACGTACCGGAACATATGTTCCATCTAATGCTCCCAAGCATCCCTGGAAGGCATAATTAAAAATAAAAAGGAGAACAATCAGACAAAATTACTTCTACTTCTATTTATTTCAGTTGTTTATTATTTATTAAATACTAACCTTAAACCATTTCCATCTCCAGTCTTTATTCGACTCCAAAACAAGTTTAGGTTGTACGACGATAATCGGGTGTAAGCGTAGCACAACTCTAAGTACTAAATGAAAAATTTTGCTAATAGTTTGACCGGAACGTTTAAAATCATACTTAACCACTGCGGTTTTTTTTTATGATGGCTTAACACACTCAAGAAAATGATCACTTGCTCACTTATTTGCACATTTCGACTACTCTCTAATTTACCAACATGCTCCAAAAGGTAGCATAAACGACCGAAGGCATTTCTGTCCATACGTAGTTGTTCGACACATACTCTGTCACTAATGCATATAAGTTCTTGCATATGTTGTACTTGCCTAGGTAGTCGATTTGACATTTTGAAGAAAGCCCATCCATTTCGCTCTCGAATTCTAAGATGCTTTGTTTCTGCCTCACAATTTTCAGGTACAAAATGGCAATAAAAAACACAATGGTCAATGTATTCATTATATCCTCAACGATCAAAAGAACTTCGACTTCATCCATGTCAATGTCCATGGCTACAACAATTGCAAATAAATATGCAGCGTTAAATGCGTAGTTATAATATGTATTTTTGAACTATTGTGGACACCAACAAATCAGGTCAACATAACACAACAACAAATGTATTCAAAGGAAAGAAAGTCTTAGATGGCTTCACACTATACACAGTCCTAGATCACCTCAATATTATGAGAATATTTGCAACCCCTTTCCAACCATTTTGCAACCACAAAACAAAGACACCAGTACGCAAAATAAAAATCATACATCTCATGTCAAGATTTATCAAACCACTTCTTTAATTACCGTGTTGCTGCAACCACAAAACAAAGACACCAGTTCGCAAAACAAAAATCATACATCGAAAGTCAAGATTTATCAAACCACCCATGTCATTACCGTGCTGCGACAAAAACGACTGTGATGTAGAAGATACCGGCTTTTTCTTGCCCTGNACTGACGCAATTCTCATGTAAGCACAGGCAATACGGAGAGATATAGAAAGATCCTCACCTGAAGAAGCAATGACACAAGCAGATCTGATATTCGCGTCGAGTGGCCGGGGAACGGGTCAACTTCACTGTTTCAACAGGTCAATTGGAGTATTGCATTTATGTTCTTCATCTCAACAAGCTATGGTATGCTGTAATTTTCCTCTTCACTGAGGGCACGTTTGTCCTATAAAATTACTTTTAGGGGCATATCAGACTTTCTAATTTATTTTACTATTGGGACATATCGAATATGACCACCCTCGGGTAGATCAATTAAATCTGGGAAAAGTTGAATTTGTGCACTGTGCATCCCGGGCCGCATCTAACCTACCGGGCCGTAATCATGCCAAACAAATGCGGGATTTGGGCGGATAAGGAGCCTCAATCTTGTCTGTCTTGGGAAACAAAACTGCTCTAATCTATATATATATATAATTACTAGCTAATAGCATTTAAGAAAACCTACTTAATAAAACCTCTAAAATTTTCTCTCCATTTTCGGTTACAAAATTTATCATTAATGTTCTTTACTTCTCACATTAATACATCCTATTGAGTGTAATCATGTATTTTTTTATTATATTATATAATAATTAACGCTATACCAACTAATAATAATTCACAATAAATATAAATTACATAATTATAAACAATTATTTCAAGTTATTTATTTTAACATCAATATTATCTTTTTCTTTTGTATCTCATGAAAAAAAATTCTTTAAAAACAATTAGTAAATTGGTTTAATAGCATAGTCAAACAACTTCAAAATCTTATAAACAATTTCTTTTGTAATAATAATAATAATAATAATAATGATAATAATAATAATAACAATAACATTAATAATAATCAAACTGTTATTATCTAATGATAATTAACAATTGTTCATAATAATAAACAATCATTAATTTATTTTTTCTAATGATTAAATTTTTAAAAAATAATATATTTATTATCTAAAATTTTAATATTAAATTCTAAAATATTACTTATTATATTTTATTTTATGTACATATTTGCATGTGCACAGGATATTTATTTGTGTTTCAATTCTATTCTATGGCCCAGGAACGAATATAAGCCCTTGGTTAAATGTACCGAAAAGCCCTTCGGATTAGGGTTTTACCACTCCCTGAGCTCGAAACAGCAGGATTCGGATTGGTCTGCTTTTCTTCATCGACTTCAAAACTTCCACTCTCCTCTGTCATAAAGGGACAGAAAAGAAAGAACGGAAAACTCTTCTCACTCCCTGATTCCAGAAATGGTACATTTCTTTTGCTATGAAATTGTATGCTGTGTGCTTGTGGGTTTAACTTAATACGTCATATTTTTTTTTTCTTTCCTTTTGTTTTGGTCGTGTTGTGATTGTCATGCCTCTGCAAGCACAGTTAGTGTATCTCTGGAGAGTTTTACCATTTCCCTTTGATTTCTGTTGTCCCTTTTATTATACTGATAAAGAACCAATCTTTATTCGTGGGATCTTCAATTTCGTTGTCTTGGTCGTGAATTTATGCTGAGGAATGATTTACGGTTCTTTCTTCCATCACCCTTTAATTCGTAAAGGGTGCAAATTTGTGGATGTAATCCTTTTTTCATATCTGCATTATAAACACAGTTTTGTTGAATTTAACATAGATAAGGATGAATGCTCGTCTTAGGTGTCTTTTTGGAAAGAATGATTGATTATAATAGAATTTCATGAAGTATGCACCAGTCTTTTGACTTGCTGAGGAAAGTATGCTCAATAACTGGCTATATAATAATAAAACTAACGTATATTTGGGTTAGAGTTACATTTTTTGCAGATTTCTGAATTTTCCCAACATGTTTATTCTGCTTTGGTTATATATGAAGTATTTATGTTAGTCATGTATAGTTTTGATGTCATTGGTATGCATGCAGGCTGCTGCCAACCCAAGGGCTCAGGGCAGGAGAGCTGCTGCTGCGGAAGATGAGGGCATGGACCCAACGGTAGGGTATTGTTGGCTTTCTTTTTGATTTATTTTATTTTATCATTTTTTCCCTCTTTATTTTTCCTTATAAGTGTTCTTGAATGGGCAATATTTTGCCCAGGCCCTCTAAAATTGATTCACTGAATATAAAATGTATCCTGCAGCAATATCATGAAAACAGGCTGAGAGCCCTTGCGGCACAGAAGTCAACTGGGGCTAATCCATATCCTCACAAATTCGAAGCTAAGTCGTCTATACCTGAGTATGTGAGGAGATACGAAGGCCTAAACAGTGGTGATCATCTTGAAGATGTCGAGGAAAAAATTGCTGGTGTGAGAAATTTTATGTGTCATGTGGTGCAGTATGTTATTAGTAAACTGTTACTGTCAGTTACTTATGTGGATTGTTCTTTTGGAAGGTCGGCTTATGAACAAACGATCATCATCATCGAAGTTATTCTTTTATGATTTACATGGTGGTGGTGCTAAAGTTCAAGTTATGGCTGATGCAAGGTGGACTTAAATCATGTGTCCTAGAATTAGAATGTTCAGATTTTTTCAATGCGGAATGTCACCTTGATTCTTGGATTTTTTGTAGGAAATCTGATTTGGATGAAGAAGAGTTTTCTCGATTTCATAATTCGGTCAAGCGAGGAGATATTGTTGGGATAATTGGTTTCCCAGGTCTGTGACTTTAATTTTTCATGAGTTTCATATTTCACCGGATTAAAATAATTATTCTCTTGAGAAGCATTTATTGTGAAAGTTCAGTTGAATTGTCTACATGTGGATGAACATTTTATTGGTTGCCTTTCTAGTTAGGTCCATGTATTATCTCACTCTATATTACAATAGTTTGTGCTCCGAGGCTCCACTCATATTTTGTTTGGACGCTGCAATTAAGTCGAACCTTTTATTTGTTCATCATCATATTACATCTACAAGTAAATGTGGCACAAAATTGTTGTGAAGATTCACTTTTCCCAATTTCTACCTTTTATTTTCTTCCAAAAGCGTAACAATCTCATGGTACTTCATTTTATAGGTAAAAGCAAAAGAGGAGAGCTGAGTATTTTTCCCAAAACATTTATAGTGCTTTCTCATTGTCTCCACATGATGCCCCGGCCAAAAATTGGTCCAGGTTCAGAAAATACTAAGGTGACTGATTTTTTATCGGGATGAATGTAATGATAAATGTTAGACTAATTCATTGACATAATAATACCTTTAAACAGGTAGCTGATATTTGGGTCCCAGGAAGTGGTAGAAATCCTGAGGCTTATGTATTGAAGGATCAGGTACTGTTCAACTCTCCATTTACATAAAAACTTGCCCCATTTTGGTTTGAAGGCGACATGTTTCTCATGAGGTTATTAGGGCGTGCTTGGATACAAATATATCCGCTCAAAATGAGTTTTTTTTGTTAACTAGAGTTGATTTAAAAAAAAAAAAAGGTGGTACGGTTAGTTGTTAGTGGGATTTTGATTTATATTAAAATAATATTCAAAATAAAATAATTAAAGTTGGTTTGATATAAAAGTAGGAGAGAGATGATGTGAAGTGATGGTTAGTTAAAATTATGTGAGTGTATGAATAACGAATTAAAGTTGATGTGATGCGTAATAGTGATTGATTGAGATTAGTTAATTATATTGATAATATTGAGGATAGTGGGGTTGTGTTGATGTTGAGTTAGATTGTGAGTATGAATTGAGTATGGAATGAGTTTATTTATAAACGAATGCACCCTTAGTTTTTTCATGTTAAAGGTTAGTCAACTTTTTCCATCTAATGAATCTTGAACTTGTACGTGATACTTCTTGAAGCTGACTTCAAGTGCATGTGTGCAATGTGTGTTCGTTTATCTCACACATTAACATTTTATTTCATCCAGGAAACACGGTATAGGCAGAGGTATTTGGATTTAATGCTGAACATGGAGGTTCGTGAAATATTCAAAACCAGGGCCAAAATAATTTCTTTCATCAGACGATACCTTGATGAACGAGACTTTCTTGAGGTGATCTATCGTTTTTGTTCACTAGCTCTTTACTTTCTTGCACTCAAATTTTTTTTATTCATGTTCTGTTTTTTCCCCAAAGGTTGAAACTCCAATGATGAACATGATTGCCGGGGGAGCTGCTGCCCGTCCATTTGTGACCCACCACAATGAACTCAATATGAGACTTTTCATGCGCATTGCACCCGAACTTTATCTGAAGGAACTTGTCGTTGGTGGCTTAGACCGTGTGTATGAAATTGGGAAGCAGTTTAGGAATGAAGGGATTGACTTGACACATAATCCCGAGTTCACGACTTGTGAGTTTTACATGGCTTTTGCTGATTACCATGACCTGATGAAGCTAACTGAAGATATGCTCAGTGGTAAGTGGCTATCTGGTAATCAAAATCTTCTAGTTTTGGCTAATCATAAGAAAAACCTGCAAGTTATTCAAAATTGCATAAACTCCCATGAAATTTTATTTCTGTATATGCTGGGGTGGTTTGATTTCTTTCCATTTTATAGTGGGGAGAAATGCAAAATGGTGTATCAAATATATTGGGAGTTTTTGAAATTCTAAGAACCTCTCAGTCGTTTAGTAATTTGCTGAAACTGCAATTGGGATCTTTTGTAATTATCCCTGGAATCTAATATAGTATTAGCATATAGATATTACTGACATATTCTACATTGTTAGGAATGGTCATGGAACTTACGGGCGGTTATGTAATAAAATATCATGCCAATGGATGTGACAATGAACCCATCGAGATCGACTTCACTCCTCCTTTCAGGTATTTGAACCTAGGCATAATAATACATATTGTATCTTGAATTAGAGATAACAGGATACAACAATTAGAAGTCCCTTGCTTTTACTTGTTCAGGCGGATTGATATGATAGATGAGTTGGAGAAGGTCGCTAACTTGAACATACCCAAGGACCTGTCAAGTGATGAAGCCAATAAATATCTGGTGGATGCGTGTGCAAGGTTTGAAGTCAAATGCCCCCCTCCCCAAACAACTGCTAGGCTGTTAGATAAAGTAAGATACTTTTTCTCTCTCTTTTTCCCCCAATTTGTTAGTTTTTTTTTTTTTTTTTTTTTTGTTTTGTATGTTTTCTGTAGGTCAGTTTGGGTTGCATATAGTTGAATTGAGATTTTGAGATATTAATTATTGATTTATTTAATTAATTATTTTTGATAAACTGGTTATGTTTGATTTGTATAGCTTGTTGGTCACTTCCTTGAGGAGACTTGTGTGAACCCTACATTCATTATCAACCATCCAGAGATCATGAGTCCACTGGCAAAGTGGCATAGGTCGAAAGCAGGCTTGACCGAACGTTTTGAGCTGTTCATCAACAAGCATGAAGTACATATATAATCATAATGCTATTTCATTCAAAACCTCCCTTTCATTCCCTTTATTTATTTATTTTTTTTTCATTTACCTCGGGTTATGCTCTACTGACTAGTGCTTGTTATTTTTGGCAGCTTTGCAATGCATACACGGAGTTGAACGATCCTGTTGTGCAACGCCAGCGTTTTTCTGACCAGCTCAAGGTATTTATTTTGGAAACATGATTTCATAAAGGGATAGTTATATAAACTACTCTTTAGGGTTGTTTAACTGTTCTGATCTCAGAAACACCCAATTATCCTTCAAAATTACAAATTGAGATTTGCCTTTCCTTATTCTCCACTAAATAGAAAAAAATAACAAGAGGGAATGTTAGTTATTTTGAACGATAGTGGTTTTTTTAATTGAAAGTAACATGAATCTTATTTCTTTTAAATTAGCCTCTTATGATTTATCTGCATGTATAGTACTCAAGTAATTCTGTTAAGATTTATTTGCACTGGTTGAAATTAGGACCGACAATCGGGCGATGATGAAGCTATGGCCTTAGATGAAACATTCTGTACTGCTCTTGAATATGGGTTGCCACCAACTGGAGGCTGGGGATTAGGTATCGATCGATTCGCGATGTTGCTGACCGATTCACAGAACATAAAGGTTAGCTTCACTTATATTGTCTTAGAATCATTTCTGATTTCATTTTCTTATCAATATTTAATTCTATCCTCGACATATACTTGATATTTTGTGTCCAGGAAGTTCTGCTCTTCCCAGCTATGAAACCCCAAGATGAGCCTTCAAGCAAAGAGGGGTAAGTAATTTTTATTGTTGAAAGACTTAAAATGTCCTGCAGTAGAACTAATTTATTCTGTAACGGCCACTTTATTTATTTATTTATTTTTTTTACTTTTTCCATTTTGTAGCTATTCTGAATTTGTGATTATGATTAAGCTGATTGTAACTTTGTTTTCGTCAGCAGCAAGAAAACTCAAGATGAAGCTCCTCCATCTCAAGGTACACAACAAATGATATGTTTTTGCTTTTGATCATTTTTTTCTTTTGTGTCCCCTCGACCTTTTTCTGTTGGGTGAACAATTGTTTTTATTCATTTAGTTGCTAATGCCTTGTTGAAGTAAAAGGTNGATTTGGATTCAAATATGCAGAGCTTGAGAAGAAGCTGTCACTGTCGTAAAAATTATGTTGGCCTTTGAGGGAATGATGAGAAGTTTTGGGTAAAGAAACTGCCGAGTTCCAATTACAACCCAGCTGACAATCGGAACATTATATTATATTATATTATATGATTTGGATTATTTTTGCACTTAACCCCAAGTACTTGATTGATTAGACTTCTTTGACCAACTTCGCCACTGTTTGACCCTCTTAATACATGCTGTATTTGAAGATTAAACTCATTTTCCGAAAATTCATATTATGGCTTCACTGCGCTTTATGCTATATGTCCATACGAACGATCAAGTTTCCATATATCTACACATAGAGCTGCCAAAGAGGCTGTGGTCACTTTTTACTATCGAGCATCGTTTCCATATATCACCACAATTGGTAATTTTTCACAATTAAAAGTGGTATCTCATGTTAAATATTTAGGATAAATCTTCTAGTATATAATATTTTGAATGTTGAGTTTGTTTAGTTCTGTACGAAACATCGGCCTAAGTGCATATTCAAATCTTATTGAATTAAATTCTAGCACAGTGGAATCTGCAGTTAGGATAGAGGACTTATGCTTTGAAAAATCAAGTTGACTCTACAAATTAAACAACTTACGGCGCTGGACGAACGGTTCTGAGATGTGTTCTCTAATTTCATACCTGTCGTGCACCTCTTTGTTCGAGTTGTCGGACTGCTGCCCTTTAATCGCCAATCGCTGCTTGTGCTTGCTCCGCTGTTGTTGAGGTCGTTGAGAGAGTTGAGCGGTCGCTTGTTGCATCGTCGCCTACTACGTCGTCGGGTCGCGTGTGTTGGCCTGTTCCGTCGCCTGCCTGCGGGTCCTCACATGTGCTGCATGCGGGTGGCTTGCCGGTGCGCGTGGTCTCGTCGGCACTCTGCCTACCTCGTTGGTGATGCTGCCGCATGCGGTGGTCGCTGGTGATGCTGGCCGCCGAGTTTGGTGGTTGCTGGTATGGGACCTCGTGTGTCTTCTATTGTATAACTGATCACCTGCTTCGATTGGTCGCGGTGGACAGCTTATCGGATCTCCCGAACCTCACATGAAACTCACGATTTTTTCTCTCTTCCTTTGTTGTCGATTTTGCTGATCAAGAACGCAAGAACTTGAGATCTATGCGTGTGGAATTGTGTGTTTGGAGGCTAAGGACTTGATGTATAACTAAGCTACAATAAGGACCATAACGAGGTGCTAAATATGGACTCTTAATTGTGCATCCAATTGTGCGCATGACACATTCTATACCCAATTGAATAATATTTAATACCACTATAAAAATATTACTGAACTCCCCATTTAACTCCCAAGTTACAAATAATTCGTTTCGCGACTAATTGCTCAAATTGGCTCCCCATATTTAAGATCTAAAATCATTGATTAATTTAATTACTAAAAATTTAATTAATTAACTTCTATATCCTAAACTAGCACCACTCAATTCTTATCATTATGTCGGAAACAAATCCGTCTATAGGGCTTATCATAGTAATATTTTTTACGCTAATATCGGGGATGTCATCAGCCTCATAAACCCGGACACGGTGACCGCAAACAATTTCAACGCACATCATGCATTCAACATTATTTATCAAAATACGGAGTCTGTCGACCTATTAGAAAAAGTCTCACTCATGATAAATCAAATAAATAAATATCGAATACATATGCCCGTTTATTGTCTCACAGGATAAGAGAACGCAACAATTACTGAGGTATAGATAATTTACTTGGTTAGTATAAAATAATCATATCATCCGTAGGTCCATCCAATACATTCGAGATGTACTAGTGCACTTCATTAGTCAAAGACCAACTAATTCGAAATCTCACTACAACCTTTCACGAGAGTTGGTTCATTTCTGTCTAGGCTGTGAACAAAAAGGTTTATATTTTACAAGGCACCGATAATTTGATCTTTCGAACCCTATTATCTACAATATAAAATAAAAGAACTATATTCGCCTAAATAAATGAACTGTAAACACACAATTGACTAAAACACGAATCTCATTCAGAAAGGTATTGTCAGAAATCAAAAGTCGAACTCTTACAGTATACCCTAACAATCTCCCACTTATACTCTATAAAGCTTTCAGTTATATTAAATATGCATTTATTCAATCTAATTCTCAAAGAATGGTCTAACTAGTCGCCATGTGTCTGACTCCCATTCCTTCCACATGCCTCGAAAACTTTTTCCAGAAGACTCTTAAAAGGATCTGCTAGGTTGTCCTCTGATGTGATCTTAAAAACAACAACCTCCCTTCGTCCAACGATCTCTCATATCAGGTGGTACTTGCGCTCTATGTTCTTACTCGCCTTACGTGTTCGTAGTTCCTTGGAGTTCTCTATGCCCTGCTGTTGTCACAGAAAAACGTGATCGTTGCAGGCAAATTCAGTACCATGTTAAGGTCAAACAGGAAGTTACTGAGCCAAGCCGCTTCCTTCACTATCTCTGAGGCCGCGACGTACTCGACTTCCATTGTGGAGTCTGCCACGGATTTCAGCTTGACACTTCGACAAACTATGGCTCCACCTTCGGAGTAAACACAAACCTTGAGGTGGATTTACTTTCATCCCGATCTGACTGGAAACCAGAAATCAGTGTAACCCAATGGGAGCAACTCGTCTGCAAGGTAAACTAACATATACTCCTTAGTCCTTCTCAGGTACTTGAGTATAAGCTTCACCGCAGCATAATGTCCCGATCCTGGATTACTTTGATATCTAGCCACCATGCCACGACATAACAGATATCCTGTCGTGTGCACAACATCGCATACATAAGGCTTTCTACTGCCGGTGCATAAGAAAACTGCCTTCATGTCCTCTATCTCTTGGGATGTTTTGGGAGACACCCCTTTAGATAGAGGGATTACATGCCGAAAAGGTAATAACCATTTCTTGGAATCCTACATGCTGAACTAAGCAGAGTCAATATCTATGTACGAAGACTGGGATAAACACAACATTCTCTTCTAGCCATCCCGAATGACCTTAATCCCGAGAATGTGTCTTGCTTCTTGTTGTAGCAAATTATATTTTTACCGAGTACGGGATGACTCCCGACCTCGAGTCGATCTCTCGAGGAAGGCGGTTCGGAATCTAGTGTTGGTGTTGATAACACATAAAGCGAAATAAAGCCTAAACATTCTAATCAAAGATTGGTTTTTTATTATTACCTAAGAAATAACATAAAAATAAATCTACCTAAAAATATAAACGACAAAAAGATAAAAAAGCTAGGGAATCGGGGATAATTAATTCAAGTTCTCTTTGCAATGTCAGACATTAATCGTTCGGTTTAAGATTGATACTCTCGCTTAAACATCTAGCGATTCGCTCCCAATAACTCTTCGTAACATGGGATTGAACATAGACGAGCAAGTTCGAGCATACAACACCGGCCAATAATCCAATCCCAATAACTCTTCGTAAGATGGGAAAGGACACCAACAAGCGTGTACTTCAATTCGAAACCTATAGACAATACGTCTCCGAACATGTCTACCTCGTACGAGCCTAGTTCTACGATTTCTCCCCTATCAGTTTCGAAAGTCGCTAATTTAATTAGAAGGTGTTGAATCAACTAATCATGTAGAATCAACAAACCTTAACTCGACAAATCAACATTCAATTATTTCCAATCGCAAAATCGATGTGTCACTCTTCGAATTATATCAATATATTAACCTAAGTGTCACTCTTAGGTTATATCAAACTATCAATAAATCAAGCAAAAATTCATCAATTCCTAATCAATTCAACTCGCACAAGAATGAACAAATTAATGCCCAACAACCACGAATTAAACAAGAGTAATCATCCTCTATCCCTAGCAATAGGAATTAGCCACACAAAATAAATTCAACACAATAAATCATTTCTCCCAATTCAACCATTTTCATGAATTAAACCAGAAGAAAAACTTACAATTAATCTCAATCCAAGTGTTGAATCCAAAATACAAGCTTAATCCCTAAAATAGAAAATAAGGAAGAAAAGAAAAAAAAAAAAGAAAATTGGAGAAGAAAAGAACGGAGAAGAGAATAAGAGAAGAAGAAGAAGAAGAAGAAGAAAAGAAATGGAGAAGAAAGGTGAAGAGAAGAAGAAAAATGAAGAAGAAGAAGAAGAAAAAGTGAAGAAGAAGGAGAGGAAGAGGAGGAGCTGTGGTTTCGAGACCTAGGGTTTTCTCCCCTGTCCAGTCCGACCTGAAAAATGGAGTCTGTGAGTGTTTTTATAGTGGCAGGACAAAGTGGCACGGCGTGGCAATGACTCGCGGCGTGGTGGAGAGGAGGGCCGCGGCGTGGTGGCTTCTCGCAGCGTGGAGAACATGCTGGGAAGTGTCTGTCGGGGTCGCGGAGGTGCCACGGCGCGGAGAGAGGTCGTGCCGCGCCGCGGAGAGTGTCTCACGCCGTGGTGGGCAGTTGCGCCGCGCCGCGGTGGCTGATTCCTCCACTGCACTATTTTGCTTCAGGGGCTTGTTTGGGGTCGTCCAAACTCGAAATTGGGTTCCGTTTTTTTCTATGCGTCGCTAGCGAACCCTCTATTCAGTGATACTTTCATGACCAGATTTTTCCAATAGTACAATCCTCTAGAGTTTTCCAACCTTCAAAGGGTCGACATCTTGCTGGACTTTACATTTCGGCCCCGTTCGGATTCGTCTGAACTCAAAATCGAGTTCCGCTTCTTCCTAAATGTAGCTAATGAACTCTTCTACTCAACCATGTTTTTCGGGTCAGATTTCGGGCTAAATCCATTCCTCACGGAGCTTTTGACCTGCACACATCAAATAAGAAGAAAAACGTAGAAAACCGACAAAATACACGAAAAACACATAAAAACCAAAATAGAGCAAAACACATAATAAATTACAAAACAAACTAAAAACTAACTAAAAGTCCTAAAACGGGGGAAAAAGAGAAGCAAAACAATAAAGAAAATCGTAACAAAAATGGGACAAACACTTCTCTTAAATCCTTCATATCAAACATCTTGGACAACCATACTTTCACGTCTGACAACACCTTTACACTATTTCCAATGAGGAGGATGTCGTCTACGGATATCACAAGAACACTACCGCATTTCTATCGTTTTTCTTGTACTCGCAGTGCTCATCCAAACATTGGGTAAATCCAAACGATTGGACAACCTCGTCAAAACAGATGTTCCAAGACCGCAAAGCTTGCTTCAGTCCATAAATGAATCGATTAAGCTTACAGACCAGATGCTCTTGACCGTTTGCGACGAAACCCTCTAGTTGCTGCATGCAATGTCCTCATCCAGATTTCTATTAGAAAAAGTTGTCTTGACATCCAATTGTCAGATCTCATAATCTATATGAGCGGCTACAACCAAGAGTATCATGATGAACTTAAGCATGACTACCGCCGGAAAGATTTCCTTATAATCGATTTCATTTGTCTGAGTATACCACTTCACAACAAGCCTAGCCTTATAGGTCTCAACCTTCCCATCCGATCATCTCTTTCTCTTATAGACCCACTTGCATCCAATGACGCGAATGCCATTGGGTGGTTCTATAAAATTCCAGATCTGATTGGCGTCCATCGACTCCATTTCAGCCTTCATCGCACTTTGCCAAGACTCTGCGTCACAGTCTTGAAGTGCCTCATCGTAAGTCCATAGGTCGATATGAAGTCCATCCGAGACTGTGTCCGAATACTCTCCCAAAAACATGAATCGATTGGGATGCTTTACAACCCTCCCACTATGACGAGATGGTCGTACTGCACATGTTTACCTAACTAATTTTAGATCATTTGTAAAGTCGTCCAAAAATATACATATCTTTTGATGCATCCCGGATAACTAAGTTATGAGCCAATTTGAACGAAACTAAATATGAATTTCAGTATTAAGAATATTTTGTTACAATAAATATAAAAAATTTCAAATAATCAAAGTAAGAGTATTTTCATGAGAAAATGGTGATTAATATTATTTATATATTCAATTTATGAGTATTATTGATTCTTCTCCGTGCATGGCACATGTATAAAGAAGCAAAAGACATAGCTTCAAACCTAGGCGAGACGTTGATAGAAGA